ATTACCCATTTCACAGATGAGGAAACCGAGGCCCACACCTGTACTGACAGAGCCAGTGGACCCTTGTCTGTCTAATCAGCACATCCACACTCTTCACTCTTGACCCTGTTTAGAGGAGACACTGGGAACTCCAAAGAACCTTGGAAGGGCTCTGGCCAGGCTCCCAGAGGTCCGGGTCCCAGTCCAGCCCAAGGGTCCCAATCTCCCTCCCCTTCCTGTGCTGCTCTAATTTTTCCTTTGCCTTGTTCCTTTTTTTCTTTTTTCTTTATTTTATTTTATTTTATTTTTGAGACACAGTCACTCTGTCGCCCAGGCTGGAGTGCAATGGTGCAATCTTGGCTCACCGAAACCTCCGCCTCCTGGGTTCAATCAGTTTTCCTGCTCAGCCTCCCTAGTAGCTGAGATTACAGGCACCTGCCACCACACCTGGCTGATATTTGTATTTTTAGTAGAGACAGGGCTTCACTATGTTCTACTGGCTGATTGGTAAGAGCTCATTTTATATGGTATGAATTGAGTCTATTTTTTTCTAGAAGGATTTGTGTTTTTTTTTGGTTTTTGGGCGTTTTGTTTTGTTTTTTTGCTATATGCCAGTTTTACAGTTGCATACAGCTCAAAAGGTCCACCACTTGTTTTACAGATTGAAGATTTCCAACATCAGTTGAGAAAGTCTTCTGGCTCCTGAAAGTGGCAGGCTGTTTCCTCTCGTTCTCTCTCCTAGGCTTGTCCTTAGTGTGGGTGAGGCAGAGGTGTGATTTCTTGTCAGTTTGTATGCATCCTTTTTTTTTTTTTTTTTTGAGATGGAGTCTCGCTCTGTCACCCAGGCTGGAGTGCAGTGATGTGATCTTGGCTCACTGCAACCTCTGCCTCCTGGGGTCAGGTGATTCTCATGTCTCAGCCTCCTGAGTAGCTGCAACTACAGGTGCGCGCCACCACGCCTGGCTAATTTTTGTACTTTTTAGTAGAAATGGGGTTTCACCATGTTGGCCAGGCTGGGCTTGAACTCCTGGCCTCAAATGATCCACCTGCCTCGGTCTCCAAAAGCGTTGGGATTCCAGGTGTGACCCACCTGTGTGCACTCTATATATTACAGCTTGTAATGCTGTGCTGTTTGAAATATTGCAAATATCTCCTCAAGCCTTTGTACCTTGTCTTGCAAAAGGCTTTTAACGTGTTATGCAAATACTGCTATCTGGTACTTCACAGATTCTGGATTGCCAGCCGTGGTTAGGAAGATTGCCCAGTCTGAGTCTGGTGGGGGTGGGGGTTGGGGCTCCTCCCCATCTCCTTCTCTACCTGCCCCCACCCCACCAGGGCTGCTCTCCTTATCTCCAGCTTCTCCTTTCCCAAGGTCCTGCCTCCCAAGGAGGGAGCCTGCCCAGCCAGGAGGCCCCAGCTTCCCCCTCCTGCCTTCCCCTCCCAGACTTTCCATATTTAGAATAAGGGTGGTTCCATTTCTTTCTTTTCTTTTTTTATTTTCTAGCTCTGTTGCCCAGGCTGGAGTGCCGTGAAACGATCTCGGCTCGCTGCAGCCTCGAACTCCTGGGCTCAAGCTATTCTCCCACCACAGCTTTCTGAGTAGCTTCGACTATAGGCCACGCCACCATGCTGAGCCAATTTTATTTTTCAGTAGAGATGGGATCTTGCTATGCTGCCTAAGCTGGTCTCAAACTCCTGGGCTCAAGCGATCTACCTGTCTAGGCCTCCCAAAGTGCTGAGATTACAGACGTGAGCTTGTCAATTTTTTTTTTTTTTGAGATGGAGTCTCCCTCTGTCACCCAGGCTGGAGTGCAGTGGTGTGATCTTGGCTCACTGCAACCTCTGCCTCCCCAGTTCAAGTGATTCTCCTGCCTCAGCCTCCTAAGTAGCTAGGATTCCAGGCTCGTCCCACCATGCCTGGTTAATTTTTGTATTTTTAGTAGAGATGGGGTTTCACCATGTTGGTCAGGCTGGCCTCGAACTCCTGATCTCGTGATCTATCCTCCTCAGTCTCCCCAAGTGCTGGAATTACAGGCGTGAGCCACTGCGCCGGGCCCCCTTGTCAATGTTTAAGAGCTCTTCCCATTTCTGTCTTTTAACCTGTGCCACCCTGTGTGTTGCAAATGACTCTTCCTCAAGTCCTGTCTATCGTCTGTCTTTATAATGTTGTCACCTAACATTTTAAGGTGCCAGGTTGTATACACAGCGTCCGCCTTGTCAGCTTCCGACCTAAGTGAGGCAGGTCTCCGGGCTCCAAGGGGAGGGGCGCCCTCCCCTTCCCTCGCTGATTCCAAATCTCGCAGCTTGTAGCTTCCCACGGGTCGGGCGCATAAAAGCGCGCGGGGCCGCGGCGGGGCACTGCCACCATGTCCCCGCTGCGCCCGCTGCTGCTGGCCCTGGTCTTGGCCGTCACGCCTTGCGCCCGGGGCGCCTGCCCGGTGCCCGCCGACCTGAAGCACTCGGACGGGACGCGCACGTGCGCCAAGCTCTACGACAAGAGCGACCCCTACTATGAGAACTGCTGCGGGGGCGCCGAGCTGTCCCTGGAGCCGGGCGCCGACCTGCCCTACCTGCCCTCCAACTGGGCCAACATCGCCTCCTCGCTCGTGGTGGCCCCGCGCTGCGAGCTCACCGTGTGGTCCCTGAAAGGCAAGGCGGGCAAGACGCACAAGTTCTCCACCGGCACCTACCCGCGCCTGGAGGAGTACCGCCGGGGCATCTTTGGAGACTGGTCCAACGCTATCTCCGCGCTCTACTGCAGGTGCCCGGCCGCCCACCCCAGGCCCCGGCCCTAGCTCCGCACAACCCCCTACACCCACCTCCCAAGCCCCGAGGCTGCTCCGCACCCCTGAGCTCCCGGCTGGAACTGGGAGCACCAGGCCTCCCGACAACCCGTCCTGAGGCCGCATCTCAGAGTCCATACCCAAACCAGCTCCTCCTTCTCCTCACCCCCAGCACCTGGTCCCCACTCCACCTGCAGCCCAGGCCCCTGGGACCTCTCCACCCCAGCTCTGGGATTCAGAGCCAACCCTCCACCCCTTCTGGAATCTTCCACCTACCCACCTGCCCACCGCTGTACTTCCCAGGGAGGGCTGGCTAATTCTGGGGACTGAGAGCTCCTAGACCCCTCACCTTGGAGTCCGCAGAACCGAAGCCAGTCCCCAGCCCTCAGATCATCACATCTGAAAGCTCCCAGACCCAACTCTAGGGACTCACAGACTCTAAAACTAACACAGACCTCAAGAGCCCAGACTCAATTACAGAAACACCCAGTGAGCCTTCACACTCCCCACTCCCCTAGACCCTCTAGACCAGCCTTAGCCCCTAAAACCAGTCCCACAGGCCACCCCCAGACCCAACCCTGGAGGCCCCTGAGCCCACCTTGTGCTCACAGACTGGGGACCTAGATCCAGTGGTGACACCTTCCCAAGCCCTCCCAGCCACTCCTGTCCCCCAGGAGCTCCAAGAGCCCCCAGCTCCAAACTCCCAGTCTAGGATCCCTGGTTTCTGAACTTGGAACCTCAGACCCAGACGCCCCAGTCCCCACCCAGCCTCAGGCTTCTGGAACCCCCCAGACCCTGGGTCTCAGAGAGCCCTGGAAGTAACTCTTGATTACATTTCAGGTGCAGCTGATGCTTTGCTGGTCTCTCCACTGCAGCTTCCACAGAGTGCTAAGCCCCTCACTCGGCCTGTCCCTGGGCTCTGCTCCAGGGCCCCAAGACCCAGAAGGAGGAGCATTATGCCTGCCCCTCCCCCTCCCCTGCAATACAGCCTTTCCTACAGTTGCTTCATACAGTCTGTCATCTGCTTGTCCCTGGGACCCAAGTCCTCACTGGACTGGGTGGGATGGAGGCGAGAGCAGGTGGTGGGGCCTGGGTCAGCCCGTAACCAGGACAATGCCTTGGATGAGGACACGCCATAGATTTGGACATGGTTTTAGGTGTGTTCAAGACACGCCCCCACAGAAGGACATATGAGTGAATCACGGGGCAACCTGGGCTGATGTTAATGTGAAATGTGCCCCACCCTTTTCGGTAAATAGCACTTCCTTAGCTGGGCAAGGTGACTCAGGCCTACAATCCTAGCATTTTGGGAGGCTGAGGTAGGTGGATAACTTGAGGTCAGGAGTTCGAGACCAGCCTGGCCAACATAGTGAAACTCCATCTCTACTAAAAATACAAACATTAGTTGGAAATCGCTTGAACCTGGGAGGCAAAGGTTGTAGTGAGCCAAGATCATGCCACTGCACTCTAGCCTGGGCAACAGAGTGAGACTCTGTCTCA